GTTCAGTTAATCACACTGACAAATGCAGCAGTGATATATACTGGACACCATGTGAAAAATGAAGCATACAACTTGTGGGTGGGGAAGAGAGGGAAAAACTGGGTAACATTATAAAAACATAAATGTACTCATTACCTGACTTACATAATGGTAACTCCTCTGTACAACACATTTAAAATGAACACAGACAGACAGACAGACAGAGATGCATTAACACCCAACACAGATCCCCAAGTTTTCTCTTATTTTTGAAATGTAGGGAGAAGAAGACTTAGAGTACTAGAGTATATAGCAATGGCAATGAAATAGAAATTGTTAGCTTCACCAGCAAGGAAACCTGAGAAATGGTTCAGGCAAAAAAGGCAAACTGCCCACATTCAGGAGATGCAAGAGCAATGAAAATACAGAGGAAAAGGAAAAAGAGAAAGAGAGAGAAGGGGACTTGTGCTGAGCCAGGACCACAGCAGATGTGGAAATGACCACAGAGTCTGGGGAACTTCTCACTGTCCTATGGAGGTGTGACCGGAGTGGTTCAGGAAGTGACCTCCGTGGATGAAGAAGTCACCACGGAGTGTGGGGTCCTTTACTGAATCACAGTCAGGTGACTGACAGGTGATTACTGGCTTCAGGCAGGTGAAGAGGAAGTGGGGAGGGCCTGTTCTCTTGGGCAGATTTAACAGAAATAGAGTAATAGATGAAGAGAACAGTATAAATGTTTCTCTTCTGAGCCAGCCACAGGTGGCTCACACTGGTAATCCTGGGTAGAGAAGCAACAAAGATTTTTACTTCAGGACCCAATTCAGGCTAGGTGCCAGCACTGATGCTCTTGCAAGGTCTTGTTGGCTACAAATACCAAATAGCATTTGCATCCTTACTTTTACAACTTACATTTGCGAAGCCCTTCCTCATAAATATATGCAGACAAATCACAGAACCAGCCACCATGGTGAACTCTGTGCAGAGCAGGACCCTATGCTGTGACCTTGGTTTCACTATTATGAGGAACTAATAGAGAAGACAGATAGGGAGACATGGACAGAGCGGGCACCACACAGTTGTACAAGTGGTACCAAGAATTCCCAGAGCACTCTGGACATGATGGGGACACAGCAGAGCAAGAACCATCCATACACCCACAGCTACCAGGATCCTCAGTGGGCAAGCCTGCTATGTTCACAGAAAGTCACAGATCACAGAACATCTCTGTCTAACAGTCCTCCACCTCAATATATTGATAGGTACATTCTGATGGTCAAGGACATGCAAGCACTGAAGAAGTTCAAGGTTCAGAGTGCAAATATCCAATTGGATATGTGCATTGACCTTGAAGTATTGATTTTTAATGGTTGAATTCAGGGAGACTGTTGGTAAGACCAGCAGCAGTAAATAGATGCATTAACCACTTCTGGAAACTTATGCATGTGCAGTTGGTATGGAAACCTGAATGGTTCATTTCAGCAAACTTCTGTGGCTCACTTGGCCCTGGATTGTGAGCCTGCTCATCCTTATGTTTGACGGTGCTCCAATAACTCTGATTGGGCCTTTTCTGGCCATGGCACTCTATGTCCATTTGACCTTCACATGGCATCTTCTGGTGTCATCCATTCCCATCATCCCTAGTGACCCTTGATTTTTTGTACTTTTTTTCTGTTCAACTTTTTGCTTTCAAACTAATTTGTGAACAACTCAACAAGAAAGGAATCCATCCCTGGAGTTTCATTATCTACAGACTTGGATGAAATCATGGTCCTGAGGGAGTGGAGAGGAAGATTGTACACATGTTTACTAACTTCTGTTTTGACCTTGAAGTTGGATCCCAGATGCAGAGCCAGAGGGCAGAATGGGCTCTGTATTCCTCTAGGACAGTGGAGGCCTCCCAGGTAACAAGAAGCCACAAAAACTGAAGATCCATTTAGACACCTTCCTGACACAGAAATCAGAGTCTGCATCCAGAATCGCAGCACCAGGTCAAAGCAGCAGCAATGTTCCCTGTGGCTCTGATACTGCTTCTCCTCCAGCATCCACAGCTGGTTAGTTCCTCTGAAGATGACAGACGGATTTGCACAGAGAAATCTGTGGTACGCAGCAGGGGAGATGTGGTCATTGCTGGATTTTACCCGCTCTATTCTTGGGAATTGTTGGTTCAAAGCTTTAATGACCCTATCCTGCAGCAACAGAACATTCAGTAAGTGATTTCTTGGGTTTCCTTAAATTGTGAATTTTCTCTTTGGGTTACAAGCAGAGGTGGGGGAAGTTTGGACACAATCACTGATGTGCTCTGCATCTTCTACATTGCCCTCACTACAACAGCTCTACTTCATTTCAGATTTTCCTGATGAATATTATTTTTCCATCCAAGGGTACAGAGTTTTCTGTCTGTCTTCCACTCCACTCCCCTTTCCAGAGATATCCCGACCACCCCACCATCACTGTGACTCCTCCACTCATCACTGTTACCCAGGGTCACTGGCGTGACCAAGAGTCCATACACAGACACTAAAGTGCAATGTCCCCATCCATAGTGCAAAGGCCAGGGAATCTTCAATCCATTCTGTACTTTACACTTTTCAAAACAGGACCAATGTTTGGACCTCCTTCATAGCAACCTTTGTTAGGGTAGACATGCAATTTCTGTTTCTGGGGCTATTTCATGTCAGCAAAGCTCTGGGAATGGGGAGATGCTGGACAAATCAGTAATAAGAGATTCAAGACATGTTTGATTTTTTTCTCCTTAACTAATGTAAGTAAAAGTCTTCCCTGATGTCCATGTCTTGGCCTGTGTCCCATGTCATTCCCAGAAGATCTGCTTCCATTCCTTGTCCTCCAACATCTTTCCAGGCTTCTTTATTTTTCCTTGCTCATAACTTCCTGAACTATATTTGAATGTTTTTTTGTATATATTGTCAGTAATGGGGCTTCAACTCTGGGCTTCAATGCTGCCCCTGTGCTATCCAGCTTAAGGCAAGTGCTCTACTGCTTGCGCCACAGTGCCACTTCCAATGTTTTGGTGGTTTATTAGAGATAAGAGTCTCATGAACTCTTCTGCCTTGGCTGGCTCTGAACCCTGATCCTCAGATATCACCCTCCTCAGTAACTAGAATGACAGGCATGAGCAAAGGTGCCTGGCTTTTTCATGTTTTACACACACTTTCATTCATGCATTTGACCCAGGTGAGCTCACTACTTTCAGATCTACAGAAATCTCTGTAAACTAAGGAAGTCATGGATGAATCTTCTCAGAAAAGCTGTGTGGAAACATCTTGTTTGAGGTTGGTTTAGGAGAGGAATATTTTATTAAATAAGAGATATGTGAGGGATATTGAAGCCAACTGAACCTGGTGAGGAAGTGAGTGAGAAAGATGGGGCTCATGTGTAAATACAGCATTAGAAACATATCCCATGGGAGGTGGGAGATGTCAGAGCTATCCTCTTCTCTGTCCACTCTCTAATTGGGCTGTGGGTTTGTGTGTGTGTGTGTGTGTGTGTGTGTGTGTGTGTGTGTGTGTGTGTGTGTGTACATGAGTGTGTGCATGAGTGTGTGTACTCTGATACTCAGGCGTCATCTCAAGTCCTGATGGCTGTCCGTTAGCATTTTTTCTCTCATGGCTGGCACTCTACCACTTGACCAACAGTTTTGTACCAGTTTCTGTTGAGTTGTTTGCACATAAGACTGTCACAGACATTCCTGCCCAAAGTAACTACAAACCATAATTCTCCTATATCAACCTCCTTAGTAGTTATAATTACAGGCCTTAGCCACCAGTTCCCAATTCATATTTAGTATAACTGACATTCTAGCTGTCAAGCCTGAGAGTTAAATTGTACACAAGGACATCAGCAAACATCCATGAGAGTTGAGAATCTATCAGAATTTCCCCAAAACGATTAAAATGAGTGCTAGGAGAACTCATTGTTCTGGAACATTCTTCATTCAGAGTGGCATGTGATACCATCTGGCCTTTGAAATGTCTCTGAATTACACCAGTGGTCTAGCTTTTTGCCTGTCTTCCCAGAAATTCCAGGCAACATTCAGTGTTCCTGAGTCTGTAGTGACTTCCACAATGCCACCACTAGAGGGAGCACAGGATTGAGGGAAGTCAGCTGTGAGGTGATAAACCACTTCAGTACCAGAGAAAACCAAAGGCAATTTTGGTGACAAATACTCTGTGGTTCTAAAAACTTCAAGAGAACTTTAATGAGTCATGGGTCCAAGTATGCCTCCTCCTGGGTGCACAGGGGGAACATATGCCTTGTCCACAGGGAATGGCCATGTGAGTGGATTCTGCCTAGCAGTGGCAAGATCTGTGTGCCTTAGTCACAGCTGTGGATACCAGAACTCTATTACACCTGGAATACCAACCAGCAGGGTCACCAAATCAGATGAAGATTAATGAAGTTTCCCTCTAAAAGTAGGGACTCTTCACTTGGGATCCTGGACTTGATCACAGAAAAAAAAATTCTAGACAAGTCACAACAGTAAGAAAATGTGGCAGAGCTTTCCTCAGTAAGGAACCAAACAAGCAAGCAGGTAGACAAACAGGAAGCAGAAAGGCAAAGACACACTCTAACTGAGGAGAGATACACAGGTCTTGGGCTGCCAGGGGTATTCAGATGGTAAAGGTGGGAGGACTGACTTCAAAGTTATGCAAACATAGTTGATTCACTTTTGTTCTAATCACTCCTGGTGTTAAACTTTCTGAATTTCTGTATGTTTTGGGCATTCTTTCCAGATGATTATCCTTGATGGAAGGTGTGCTGTTTTCTATATTTGGGGTAGGATGTTGCTAAAGTTTGGGGGAGCATCTTGGAGGAAGGCGTACATACAACAAGACAACTGCTATTTCAAATGATGAGAAACGCATCTCTCAGGAAGCAATGCAACCAGTCGTCTCTCTTTGAAGTAAAGATAGTAGCACTGTGTTTCTAAATCAAATGTTTCTAAGTTGCCTTCTCTAGGACTCATTTTTTCCCATAATTTATCCAGCTTCTTTTTGTGTTCAATGACTTTGGTCCCGTAATCTTTATTTTTTAAGTTATTTCTGGCCTTTTCTTTTTACTTTTCTTTATGTATTGTGAAAATACTGTACAGAGGGGTTACAACTACATGGGCAAGATAATGAGTATATTTCTTATCAAGCATTGTAGCCTCCTCCTTTGTTTCCCCTTCCCAACCCTTCCTATGCTTCCCCCACCCCCAATTGTCCCCCACCCCCGCATGGAAGTTGTAAAGTCCATTTTCGACATAAGGACTTGTACATCTCATTGTTGCAATGGGTCCACCTGTATCCCTATTTAAATGATTTGTTTTTCCCCTTCTCCTCCACAAATTATACCGATATGAATTAAAAAGAAGGAGTTGTACTGTGGGGGAGGGACATACAAAGCAACAAAGAAATAATCTTATAAATGTGTTAGGAACAATCACATGAAAGAAAAAAAACATTTGAATACATATCTTAGGGTTAATTTCCCTAATATCACCTTATCTGACCTTTTCTGCTTGACTCAGACGTATACTAGATATTGCAAATAAGGCAAACCATGGGACCTATGTTTCTTTGAGCTTGGCTTACTTCACTTAATATAATTTTTTTCTAAGCCTTTCCACTTGCTAACAAATGGGGCAATGTCATTCTTTCTGATGGAGGCATAGAAACACATTGTGTATATATACCACAATTTCTTGATCCATTGATCTACTAAGCGGCATCTGGCTTGGTTCCATATCTTAGCTATAATAAATAATGCTGCAATAAACATAGTCGTGCTGGTAGCTTTATTAGGGTCTTGTTTGTAAGCATTTGGGTAAATGCCCCAAGTGGGATTGCTGGGTCATGGAGGAGCTCTATGTGGAGTCTTTTGAGGAACCTCCACACTGCTTTCCAAAGTGGTTGAACAAGTTTACACTCCCTCCAACAATGAAATAAGTTTCCCTTCTGTCCACATCCTTTCCAGCATCTGTTGTTATTAGAGTTCTTGATTATAGCCATTCTAACTGGAATGAGGTGGTATCTCAATGTTGTTTTGATTTGCATTTCTTTTATGGCGAGAGAGGTTGTGCATGTCTTCATGTTTCTATTGACCATCCTTCTTTCCTCTTCAGAGAAGTTTCTCTTTGAGTCTTTAGCCCACTTGTTTCATTGGCAGTTGTTTCTTTAAAGATTTGTTGTTGGGAGATTTAATTTTTTGAGTTCAAGGTATATTTTAGATATGAGACCCTTGTCTGTTGTGTGGCTAGTGATGATCTTCTCCCAATCCTTGAGCTTTCTATTGATCTTTCTAGCTGTGTCCTTTGCCATGCAGAAGCTCTGCAATTTCATGCAATCACATTTGTCCAAACTTTCTTTGATTTTTTGTGTTTCTGGGTCACTATTAAGAAAATTTTGGCCTGTGCCAAGGAGACCTAGGGTTTCTCCTATTCCATCCTGTAATGTTTTCAGAGTGTCTGCTTTGACTCCGAGGTCTTTGATTCATTTGGAGTTGATTCTGGTGCAGGGTGATATATAAGGATCTAGCTTTAGTTTTCTACAAGCAGTTAACCAATTTTGCCATGACTATTTCCTGAAGAGGCTGTTTTTCTTCCATTCTATTTTTTATTGAAGATTAGATGGCTATAGGTGTGTAGGTTCATTTCTGGGTTTTCAGTTCTATTCCATTAGTCCTGAGGTCTCTTCTTGTGCCAGTACCAAGCTGTTTTGATTACCATGGCTTTATAGTAGAATTTGAAATTTGGTATTGATATTCCTCCAGCAGTGGTCTTTCTGTTAAGGATCATTTTTACTATTCGGGCTCTTTTATTGTTCCATATGAATTTTTGGATTGCCTCTTTTATTTCCTTGAAGAATGAGGTTGAAATATTGATAGGATCGCATTGAATCTGTAGATAGCCTTGGAAAGTATTGACATTTTCATGATGTTGATCTTTCAAATCCAGGAACATGAGAGTTTTTGCCACTTTCTAAGATCTGTTTTGATTTCCTTTTTCTGGATTTTAATGTTTTTATCATAGAGGTCCTTCACTTCTTTGGGTAATTCCTAGGTATTTTATTGTTTGTGGGGCTATTACAAATGGAGTTGCTTTCTTAATTTCAGCCACACTTTTCTCATTGTTGGCATACAGAAAAGCCATTGATTTTTGAGGGTTAATTTTATACCCTGCTACTTTGCCAAAGTTGTGAATCAGTTTGAGTAATTTGGGAATGGAGTCTATGGGATTCTTTAAATACAAGACCATGTCATATGCAAAGAGGGAGAGTTTTTCTTCTTCTTTCCCTATTTGGATCCCCTTTATTTTTGCATCTTGTCTTATTGCTGTAGCTAGGCATTCTAATACTAGATTGAAGAGAAGTGGAGAGAGTGGAAATCCTTTTTCCTGAGTTAAGAGAAAATGGCTTTAGTTTTTACCATTAAGTATAATGCTGGCTGTAGGTTTGTCATATACAGCCTTTATTGTATTGAAGAATGTTCCACGGATTCCTAATTTTTCCAGAACCTTCGTCATAAAGGAATGTTGGATCTTGTCAAATGCTTTTTCTGCATGGTCCCTTAATCTTAAGATATGTAGATGGATGAATGCCTCTCTATTTACTCTGAGCTTCCCAAACCTCATTTTTTACTACTCCATTTTCCCCTAAATAACTTCTGTCCCTTAACATTAAGGGAAGTAGATGGACAAGCTTTAAGCTTGAGTTTTTGAATTCCTGGCATGCATTAACCAGGCCTCATTTTCCTTAGTCTATCCTGCCTGAGTACAGCATCCACAGTCCACTGCAATCAAGACCAATACAGTGCTAGGTGAGCACTAAGATTGACTCAGGTTGAATGTGGTAGAAGTGCATTCATGGGCCAAGATGGCCACAACCATACACAATTAGTGATAGCTAGAATAGAATTCAGACTGTCTGGTGGTAGATGACTCACAGGTACTGAGATGATTATAGATCTCTGCCAGAGGCTGCACTGGCTATGGGGTGATGGCAAAGTTCTAGTGCTATCACATGGCCCACACTAAGCTATGGGACAAGATCACCATCTTCATTCCCTCTCCAACCCATGGGAAGTAGAATGGAGAACCATGCTGTGTCACAGCAGCTTGGTAAAGTTTGTAAAGGAAGACACAGCTGGGCACCGGTGGCTGATGCCTGTAATCCTAGCTACTTAGGAAGCTGAGATCTGAGTACCAGGGTTCAAAGCCATCCCAGGCAGGAAAATTCATGAGACTTTTATCTCCAAATAAACATCAGAAAACCAAAAGTGGCATTGTGGCTCAAGTGGTAGAGCGCTAGCCTTGAACTGAAGAATTCAGGGACAGATCCATGGCCTAGAGTTCAAGCACTACAACTGACAAAATAAAACAAAAAAAAGGAGGCCACAGAGCCATCTTGGTGAACACCGCCATTCTCTGAGACTCAATCTCCCATCCAGAAATCCAAACTTTCAGGTGCCCCACACTCCAGCTTATGCTGCCATAGACCAGTGCACATTAGTATCCTAGAGCAACCTACGTTTCTGCTTGGTTCCATGTTGAGCACTATCTTTCTAGGGCAATGGTCCCTGAGATTGTTCACTGTGCACCCGACTGGGACTGAGTCAGATTTCAACAGAATCACATAGCAACAGTGGCTTCACAAGGCTAAGCAAGAAGATAGGTGTCGGCCTACTTCAACCACGGTGGAAACTGATGGAAATGGCATTTGGTTCTGCCTCAGCGACCTTCCAACATCTCCTGAAAGATTCTAGCAGATGCTTGGGTGCTAGCATCAAACAGTGCTTCTAGTTACTTCTGGATTATTAGTCCAATCATGACATGCCTGACACAGGGTTCTAAGAGAAAACTCTGACCCACTCTGCCCTGCTCACTAGGAGATTGTTTCCCATACCTGCTGTCATTGACAAGATTGGAGGAGGGAGGTAGTGGCAGTGTCTTCCTTCTCTGTCCTAAACCAGCTCCATAGGAACAATCTAAATGTCTGGACACAAAAGTAAAGACTATAACCACTTCCCCAGCACTGGTCCCAGGATACAGGGATGGTGCTGAGATTTAACTTTAATTCTCTCCCTCCCAGCAATGTTAAAGGGTTTCTGTCGATAATGAGATAGTAATGCTGTTGACTGGGAGGAACATGGAGGCAGCTTCTTTCTTCCTTTTCTCACACATCTTTTTCTGTTGTTTTGTTCCATTAGAGAAGTACCCTCCGGTCCACACTCCATGACTCTCATCTCTTCTTTGTTGGGTGAGGCAATCTTCAGGTTCTCTCTCCCTCAGTTGCCATCTTGCACTGTTTCTGGGGAACCCTCTTGAATGATGGCATTCTCTAAATCAGCTTAGTGTGCCTCTACCACATGACATGAAATGAATTTCTTTGTTTTCTTTAATTTCCTTACAAGGTAAGATTCACTTCTTTGAAGAAGGGTGCACCATCGGAAAAGTCTGGCAAGAGAGCACAGAGACAAGGCAGCCTGTTTGCTATTTACTCCTGAGACAGCAGGCACTGCCTCCCTGCTCATATTGGTCGAACTCAGGTGGACAATGTGGTCCCAAGTAGAATTGTATTTCTTAAGAATTTTTTCATATGTCTACAGCTAATTCAAGTTAATGATTTGGGATGTGAGCTGGCCATGCCCCTGTGTTCCAACAGACAGCAGTGTTTTTCACATAGACATATGTGCAAGAGAGGAAAAGCCACCTTGCTCATCCCCCCCTCCTCTCTACAATCTCAGAAGAACAGTCACCTCATGTATGCTGATCAAGGCCTGTTTAGGAGCTCTCTCAATTCTAAGACTCCAAATTAGAATATGATCCTGTTGGAAGATAGAATCTACACATACTACTGTGGGTAGAGATAAGCATTTGAATAAAAAAAAAGTCATGAGATTTGCAGTTAATTATTTGTGATAAGCATATACCTACCCAAAACTTGTGACCTTTGTGCAGGATCAACTTAAAGAAATACCAATTGCTTCTCACCCTGCTGCTGGCTGTGGAGGAGATCAACAAGAATCCCCATCTGCTTCCCAACATGACTCTGGGGTTTGAGATCTATAGTGCACATTATTCAGGTACTGATCTGTTAGAGGATCCTCTCATCTGGCTGTCTGGGAAAAATAAAAACAGCCCCAATTACACCTGCAGAAGAGACAGCAGAGCTTTAGCAGGACTCACAGGAACCTCAAGCACATCTGTTCCAATCGGGACACTGCTGGACCTCTACAAACTTCCACAGGTGAGGTTGGGAGAGGTGGGCAGATGTGAAGCTATGTCCACATGGACCCTGTCCAGGACAGGCTGAAGAGGTATTTTCACGAACCCTTCCAAATGCATAATCTCACAGGGAAAAGACTCCACAAGTGGGTGGAACATACACATTTTCTTTGCTCTAAATAAAAGGAGAGGTTTTAAGAGAGGAAAGGATGACCCAAAGCTCTGAGGCTTATGCGTACATGTATGCAACGTGCTTGGCACATGGGAGATTACTTTGCAAATGGGATAAGCAAACTTTTGCTCCCACCTTTGCCAGTTGTTGTTTAGCTTACATCAGGACTGAGAATTGCCTATTACCATCCTCTTCCTGGTGTTGTGTTCATTTTTTCCCTGTAGTTCACTTTTGGAACTTTTGATCCTCTCCTGAGTGACCATGGAAAGTTTGGGACTGTTTATCAGATGGCAGCCAAAGACTCATATCTAGCTCTGGCCATGGTCTCTTTGGTGCTTCATTTCGGCTGGACCTGGGTGGGACTGTTCATCACTGAAGACAACTATGGTGTGTGGTTCCTCTCAGAGTTGAGAGAAGAGATGGGCAAGAGTAGAGTCTGTTTTGCCTTTGAGAACATGATCACTTACAATGCCTTTATAGATTACTCAGATGATCTATCCAAGTATCGCCAGCTAATGGACTCATCAACCAATGTGATTATCATTTATGGGGACAGTAAATTTCTACTAAGCTTTATTTTTAAATTTGGGCACATTTTAATTACAAGGAAAGTCTGGGTCATGAACTCACCCTATGACGATGCCACCATTGGTAAAAGATATTTTCTGGTCCACTCCTTTCATGCATCTCTCACCTTCTCTCATCATCATAGAAACACTTCTCTGTTCACCAATTTCATTCTGACAGATACCTTGTCAAATAACTTAGGAAATAATTCCCTTCCTAGGTCATGGATTCAGTCTGTTTATAACCTACTGATTAAGTCTGACTGCAGAGACTTGGGGCACTGTTCATACAATGCCACACTCCATTGGTTGCTGAGGCACATTTTTGATATGACCATGTCAGAAGAGAGTTACAACATCTTTAATGCTGTGTATGCCTTGGCCCATGCCCTCCATCAGATGTTTCTTCATCACATGGAAGAGCCATCCGTGCACAATGCTCAACCAAGGGCATTTCTTTCTTCACAGGTAATGGCTTTGCTTTTAGGTGACCTACTCTAGGCATAGTCTTTCTATAGAAGCTTTCATAGCAAATGAAACTAGGTCATCTGGCTTCATTTTGGAAAATACAAGAAACATTGGGCCTGTCATGCTCTACATGAGTGAATGTAGACCTGTGAAGACAATGTTCTTGAAGAATGCTGCATCCATGAAAAGGAAGTGCTGTGTCTTCTGTCCCCATCCTCACTATGTGTGGAAAAAGCCGACCCCTTTTCAATATATCCAAATTGTCCTTGTAACTTTTTAAAATAACAGATCAAGGTGACTAATTCTTGAAAACCTAATATTGTCTGGACACAAGTGGCTCACACCTGTGGCTCACTCCTGACTACAGTTAACTATCAAAAAGCCAGAAGTGGAGCTGTGGCTCAATGGATAGAAGCATAGTTTGAAAAGAAAATAAAACCACCTCAATTTGAGTGCCTAATTCGTGAGTTTGAGTCACAGGATAGACACACACACACACACACACACACACACACACACACTCACACCACAATAAACTAAGTCTTGCTTACGGTAGTCTTCATACTTGTCATAAATATTTTACTATCCTACTTAGTATATTATTCACCTTATTTCAGACTTACTCTCTGATCACAATCATAAAATCAGTGATTGAAATGCAATTGAGAGTCTTTGAAGTCTGTCATATGATAATTCAATATTTTGTTAGATGTGCTGGAGTTTCATTCTCTTGAAATTGAGTTTCTGCATCCCATCCTGGATACCCAGATTTTAGAACTTGGTAACACTTTAGTCTGCTGTGGGCCTGCATTTGATACAGTAGGTTGGATTCCTGTGGTGTGTGTGAATCAGGGGATGGCAATGAAGAGTAATCCATTGTTCTGGGGTTCTGTGATAATACTGGGAAGCACTTCACCATACTATAATGTGTCCCTTTTAGCTGCATCCCTTTTTGAAGAAGATCCAATTTACCAATCCTGTTGGAGACCAAGTGGTTTTGAATGAGGAAAGGAAATTGGAGGCAGAGTATGACATTAAGAGCTTTTGGAATTTTCCAGAAGGTCTGGGACAAAGGGTGAAAGTTGGCGAGTTTTCTCCATCTAGGCCATATGGTCAACAACTGATTTTGTTTGAAAATCTGATAGAGTGGCCCATAGGAATTACCAAGGTGAGTCATTTCTACTTTTTTTACTTTCTCCTTTAAAAAAAAGTTTTTGTTTTTGGGAGTTGTTTTTGGAAGGGGTTTTCATTTTCTTTGTTCGGTTTCCATTCCCATTGTTTTTGGCCTTTTTCCCCCCTTCTTTTTTTTCCCCCGGGTTTGTTTTTTTTTAGGCTTATTTTCTTATTTTTTTTTTAATTAGGCATTAGTTTTCCCTTTTTTTTAAGGTTTTTTCATAAAACTATGGTTCAGTCGTGTACATTTCACCTTCATGCTTCTGGAATTTTCTTACTAACAGATTCATGGAGGGAATAGGGTAACATTTCATTATCAATATGTTGTTCTGTGTTTGTATATTGAATATCATAAAAGCTAAATGCCACCTGTGAATCATCTTTCCAACACTGTGACCAAATACCTGAGGGAATCAAATGAGAATGCAGAAGGGCTTGCTTTGCTTCTGCCTGGAGATTTCAGACCATGCTTGGGTAGATTGTTGCTTTTGGATCGGTGTTGACACAGGTTGTAATGAAAGGAGCATCTGCCAGTGAAGTTCACCCACCTCATGGCAGCTGGGAAGTCAAGAGAGTGAGATGTGAATAACCCTGGGTACAGCAGCACCTTCAAAGCACTTAGCCGTGCTTTAGAGTGTGGATTTAAAGTTTCCCTGAGTTATGTTCTTCTCATGAGAGAAAACACATCATCACCTCATACAAGAATGGGATGCAGGGTTAACTCTCATTTCCTAATTTCCTAGAATTAACATCCACCTCTTCAAGGCTCCATGACTTCCTGATAGCATGAGGGGCTGGATGTCGAGGCCCCATATATTCTTCAGGTCATGGTATATGAAACTGTAAGAAAGCTCAATCAATTCATTGGTTGTATGTTTTTAAAGTTTTTGTGTTTTGATGATCTTTTTCCTTAAAGTGCTGGAGTGTCTGGGATGTCAGGTAAAAGGATGAATAGTCACTACCCTTCATCTGAATGTTCCCAGACTCCTCAGTCTGTCTGCACTGAGAACTGTGGTCCTCGATTCAGGAAGGCCTCTCTGGAGGGAAATGCTACCTGTTGTTTTGCCTGCATTCTTTGCCCAGAGAATGAGATTTCTAATGCGACAGGTTAGTCTGTGACTTATAGAGAAATTCCCCATCTCTCCTTCTTAACCTTCAGTCCATCCAAACCAGTGGAGTGATATACAATAAAACAGCAGGAACACACATGCACCTTCACCCAAACTTCTATGACTACCGTTGACCATACTTCTCCTTAGAAGAAACAACCCACTGCCCCTCCATTACAATACCCTGTTCCCCTCTCCTCGGTCACATGTTTTTTTTTTTTATTTAAAGAAAGTATATAAAAAGAATTAGTTGTTGATGTTTGAAATGACATGCAAATCTAAATGGAATTGTGGATGTAACAAACTTTCATTTGTGTATGCTCATTGCCACTCTTTCCTAATTAAATGTTATTTTCTTTTTAGCATACCTAAAAATACAAGGGGTTTGGGGGCTTTTTTGGGTTTTCTTTTGTTATGATCACTCCATATCTGACACTGGCCCTAGGTTGACTAGCAATTACTGAATTATCATTGATTCAGAAGTAGTTCACCATCTCCATTTCGTGTCGCTTCTCCCTCCTCAATCTGAGCTTTCCAAGATCCTCTCATATCAGTGGAGGAGCATTGTTCTGTTTTTAATACATTTTTATTGTTAAAATCCTTTACAGAGGGGTTACACTAACATAGGTAAGGAAATGAGTACATTTCTTATTGAGTATTGTTGCCTCCTCCTTTGTTTTTCTCTTACCATCCCTTCCTTCCAACCTCCCCAACTCCTCCTCCCACAGATCAAATACTCAGGAAGTTTATGTTTGGGGTGAGTAGTAGGTTGAGTTTAGGATTAAAACTTCTTTTTAAATTGAAATGCTTGGGCTGATTCTGTATTTTCCATCATTTCTTGAATGAGTAGCAGAGAGCCAGAGTGGTATGACCTGTCAAGAATGTAGCAGGATGGCTAGGTAATTATATATTATACCTGAAATCCAAGTGACTCAGGCAATTGAGATTTGAGGATGGAGCTACAATGTAATGATGAGCAGGAAACTCAGTAAAAAACTTTTCCACAATTAAGCACCAAAAGATCTGGAATTCTAGCTGTGACTCAAGTGGTAGGGTGGTAGTTTTGAGAATGAATACTCAGGAAAAATTCCTAAGGGCAGAGTTCAAGCACTGGATGAAAGACAGACAGACAGAGAGACAGAAAAAGAAAAGAAAAGGAAGATAGAAAGAAAGAAAGAAAGAAAGAAAGGAAGGAAGGAAGAGAGAGAGAGAGAGATGAGGGGGGATGTGAGGGAGTGAGGGAGGGAAGGAAGGAAGGGAGATAAACAGAAAAAAGAGAAAGGTAAGAAGGAAAGAAGAAATGTGTGAAGGAAAGAGAATTCACGTGAACATATTTTGATACAGAGAGTTATACTAGTTGGTATTGAGAGCAATACAGGTCAACTGGTGAATCAGGGGAAATGAGCAGCTTGAGTAGAGGAGGATGTGAGAAAAGAGAAACATGGAACCCATACTAATAGTGATCCTCACTCCTCACCAGACATGGAGCAGTGTGTCAGGTGTGCAGATCATCAATTTGCCAACACCCAGGGAAACCACTGCCTCAGGAAAACTGAGAGCTTTCTGGCTTATGAAGACCCCTTGGGCCTGGCTCTGGTCTGCATGGCTCTCTGCTGCTCTGCACTAACAGCCGCTGTCCTTGGGGTTTTTATCAAGCACCAAGACACCCCTATTGTCAAGGCCAATAACCGGGCCCTCAGCTACATCCTGCTCATCTCCCTCACCTGCTGCTTCCTCTGCTCCTTGCTCTTCCTTGGCCGTCCCAACACATCCACCTGCATCCTGCAGCACACCACATTTGCAGTGGTCTTCACCGTGGCTGTCTCCACGGTCCTGGCCAAGACCATCACTGTGGTTCTGGCCTTCACACTCACTGATCCAGGGAGAAGCGTGAGATCATGGCTGTTGTTCGGGGCTCCTAACCTCATCATCCCCATCTGCACCCTCATCCAAGTGACTCTCTGTGGTGTCTGGCTGGGAATCTCTCCTCCTTTTGTGGACATAGATGCACACTCTGAACATGGCCACATCATCATCCT